ACGAACAAAATGAAATAGAAGACAAGAACATGGAAAACAATGAATTGATGAATAAAGAAATTGATTCAAATAAGATAACTGGAGATGAAATATTAAAAAATAATGTCATCAATTGTAACACAGTAGAAGACAATAACTCGGAAAACCAAGAATTGATAAATAAAGAAATTGATTCCAATAAAATTACAGAAGATGAAAATTACAATAATGAAATATTAAATAATAGCTTAATTGATCCAAATGAAATATAAAAAAAATTGGAGAGTAAAGTTATTTTTTAAAATCAAAAGTTTTTGTGTATAATAATGAAAATAATTATGTGAAGTGATGTTTCCAAAAATAACACAATTATACCAGATGAAGAATTCGACGAATTAAATAATGAAATAAAGAAGATGAAGCTAAAGCTAAACAATAATCATCATAACCAAATTTGTAAATATTTTGTGAATGTACCTTAAATTAGATTTAAAATGAATACATATATGTATAGTAATACATAATATTGTAATGTTTTCAACACTTTGTTCTACACCATACGTTAATGTTTTTAATTTATTAAGTTAATACTATTTGTTGTAAGGTTTTATTTAATATTAAGAAATTGAATGTAATTATATTTATTAAAGTTTTGATGTTTGACCAGAACCATTTCTTAAAAATTTATACATTTAATTAATCTTGAACAAAAAAAATAAATTGAATACATTAAAAAAATATACTTATCAAGTATTATCAGACTAGAACAGGGGTCAGGAACCTTTTTGTAGGAAACAGCCATTTTTTCAAAAAAAATATAAAACTATGATATCCAGGGAGCCGCACTGCAGGTTTAAACAACCTTTTTTTAGTAGGCAATAAAAACATAATAATACATCTTAAATGTAGAAAATATAGAAAAACTTTACTTCATTAATTCATTATTATATATATTTATATTATTATTATTATTATTGTTTATATAAATATAATATAATTTATATTTTACGGATATCAATATATTGGTAATTATCCAAAGAGCTGCAGGTTGCATGTTAAAGAGCCGCAGGTTCCCGACTCCTGGACTAGAATAATAGAGGTAAACAATATTAAGTATATTATATTGTTTGATTTGAAAATATAGATAAATAAATATTGTATATGTACAATATACCTATTTTAAATTACATACAAATTTAAAATAGTTTTTGTGAAATCAAACTACTTCAGGCGTATGACATAAAAATAATTGTATTATACAGTCTAGTTTCCATAACACCAACTTCAATAACTTGAAAAACTTCTATTAATTAGTTTGATATTTTGAAGCGAATTTTTATCCCCCTTCAACTTTGTGTTATCCACACTTGACTGTATATCTGTATAATTATAATTATAAATGATTTTTTTTGGGGTAAGGACATGAACTCACTTTAAGCAATACATAAAATTATACTCAACAAATCATTTACATTTTGCTACAGGAAATGAGGTTCCAAAGTAATTTATAGATTTACAAATTGAAAGCATTCCAAACCATAAATAAATAAAAACTCTTAGTAAATTTTTTTAATTATTTATATAGGCTTATAGAAACAATTTTTTTTTTAATTAGAATTTTAAATTTAATGATCCATAAATGGACTTGCACAATATTTATATAATAACTTGATCAATATTAACTTTTATCATATTTTTTTATAATTGTTGTAAAAATAAATATCTTATACTTCGAATAGGAAAGGTTTAGATTCATCTTGAACCCACATGGGCTAATATACCAACAATAAATTAAATAAATAGAAAAAAAGTTTATTAGTAACACGAAATATAAATTAAAATATTGAAATACTTTATACGTTATATTAAGTTATAATTATTGGCTTATGTTAAAATGTTATTTAATCAGTTTATTTGCAATCAATCGTTGATTACACAATCAATTTCTATATCTTCATGTGAATGAATGCAAATGATGATTGATTCAATATTCATTGTTTTGATGAATATAAAACACAATAAATTGTAACTTTGTATCTAGTTTTTTGATAGTTTTAATTATATTTCATGATACTAATATACTTTTTTACATTTTGCCCTCCATCATTGCTTATATTTGTAGCCATGTTTAGGTTAATCGTTAATGAAAGTCAAATCACATAGTATCATTAGTATCTACATGAGGGTGGCCCAAACTTTTGTAGTTGGTAGACCAATTAACAAATTTATAAACACTAGGGGAGTCACCAAAATAAAATTTATTTTTGTTTATATTTTATTTTATAAAAAAACATATTATAATAATAATATTATAATACAATACATAAATTATTACATTGTAGAATATGTATAGATTAGATTTTTTTTTTGATTCAACAAACTTATAACACTTAAATTATTAAATATATTACTTAACCTAACTATAAGCTTGAGAGCTGCATTTGGCCTTTTGGTCGCGGGTTGGACCAATCCTGACCTACATAATAATACAGTTAACACATGAACGCTAAATATCACAATATTGTAACTGCAATACCTCGTAACTAACACTTTTTAATTGTATAGTAAATTTATAATAAATATTTTTTATTTGTATGATATCATTATAATTAATAATTAAATTCTTTAATCGTTCTGAAAAAATAGATTTGTTTGAATTTTGCTGGGAAACAGATTAACTTGATTTCTGTTTCCAAAAAAGTTTGTAGATTTGTTGTTACATAGTATTGCACTACTGCAGCTAACAGTCACAATAATATTTAAAATGAACTTACTAATTCCTTCTTTGCACAAGTCTACCCATAAGTCTTAAGCGGCCCAGTTTTCGTCACATCTCTTCCAAACGCCATTTCATTTCCAGTCCATAGCAGTGATGTAGTCCTAAAAAATTTTATGGGTACACGCCTGAAACATTGTAAAATAAAACGTGGGGGGCTA